AAAAGCTCACTTCCTGAGGTATGTGCGGAACTCGCTGCTGCTTGTGACCCCGAAACTGATATATGTCCTCAGACACCGTTGCTTTCCACGCCGGAACAGCATCTTCAGGTGACGATGTTGTCACATCCGGCGGTCGTGTCATTGCAGTCTCTGCCTATGCACCCACCCTTAAGGGTGCCCTTGAAGCTGCTTACGCTGGCGTCGACAGAATTGAATTTGAAGGCAAGACATTCCGTCGCGACATTGCACATCGGTTCGTTCTCCGTAAATCCAAATCTCAATTCACACCTCATCTTCCCTTAGTGCACTGAAAGCCAGTACCGAAGCACCAAAGCTCACCTACGCACAAGCTGGTGTATCTGTTGACGCAGGCAACTCACTCGTGGACGCCATTAAGCCTTTCGTCCGTGCGACGCGGCGCTCTGGCGCGGACGCCGAGATTGGTGGCTTTGGCGGTGTCTTCGATCTAAAGGCTACCGGTTATACTGACCCGGTACTTGTCAGCGGAACTGACGGTGTCGGCACCAAATTAAGGGTCGCCATCGAGACTGGCATCCACGACTATGTTGGTGCGCAGTCGACGAAGCCGCTTTACATTTTCTCTCTAACGACGCAAAAGGCATCGATCTCGTTGCCATGTCCGTCAACGACCTGATTGTTCAAGGCGCGGAACCTCTCTACTTCCTTGACTACTTTGCCTGCAGCAAGCTCGAGGTCGCCCAGGCCGCGACTGTCATTAAAGGAATCGCCGAGGGCTGTCAGATCGCAGGCTGCGCATTGATCGGTGGTGAGACCGCGGAGATGCCTGGGATGTACCACGAAGGTAAGGATCTGTCCGACCGCGGTGGAGCAGGGTGATTGACCGCAGCGCCACTAGGCGACTACGACCTTGCCGGTTTCGCAGTCGGTGCTGTCGAGCGCAGCCAGGTCCTTCCCGCCGCAGACATTGTGCCAGGGGACGTCCTCCTGGGCCTCTCGTCGTCCGGCCTGCACTCCAACGGCTTCTCGCTCGTCCGCAAGGTTGTCGCGCTCTCGGGCCTGACCTGGTCGAGCCCGTGCCCGTGGCGGTCTGATGTCACCCTGGGCCGCGAGCTGCTGACCCCTACGAAAATCTACATCAAGTCGCTTCTCCCGCTCGCGCAGGCCGGGCTTATCAAGGGCATGTCGCACATCACCGGCGGCGGCTTTACCGAGAACATCCCCCGCGTGCTCCCGCGAGGCACGGGCTGCGCCGTCGACGCGGCCGCGTGGGACCTGCCTCCCGTCTTCCGCTTCCTCATGGCGCACGGCGGCGTCGAGCCACTCGAGATGGCCCGCACGTTTAATAACGGCATCGGCATGGTACTTATCGTCGATCGCACGAACATGGACGCGGTCGTGCAAAAGCTCGTAGCGGCGGGCGAGCAGGTCTTCCGCATTGGAGAGGTCACTGCGGAGAGCGGTGTCCACATGCGCAATCTCGATAGATGGCACGCGTGAGTCGGCCGGTCGGCCAAGCGGTTAGGCTGCGACAGAAAAAGTCGAGATCATAGACGTGTAACATGAGATCTGTATATATACTACACTGTAGCTTATATGAACCTGCAGCCAAGTAAATACGACTCGTCTTCGAGCATATAAACAAGAAAGAGACGAAGAATCTAACAGCCGTAGTACATGAGAACAGAGACAGGAAAGAGCGTATAGAAGACGGAGGTGAAGGTGAAGATAGAGGTGAAGATGAAGATAGAGGTGAAGATGAAGGTGAAGATGAAGATGAAGATGAAGATGAAGATGTAGCAGAGCGTGCGGTACGATGTAATTTTGCAAGACAGGTTAAACGGCTGATTGATATAATAGTGAACCGTCAGATGCTTCACGTTGTCGGTGGAAAAGATCAATGCGCACAGGATGCATGACGATATGAAAAGCGAGGAGTGCAATGAGGGCGGAGCGGAGTGTCCAGAGATGTATACAGTAGCGAGCAGCAGATGATACGCTGGACCCATGACCGAAGATAAAAAAGAGAAAGACAGCAAAAGTACACCTTGAAACCCGAAATCGGCAAAAATCAGGGATGCGACGACAAAGCACGAGGGCATGGGGATTGCGAAATGGCGGGGGCCGTGAGCTGAATGCTGAGGAGTTTATGCTGCGATAGCAACCTCTTTCACCGCTTCCGGCGCGGTGACAGCAGCGAACGAGATGGGAAGTTTGCTAACGGAGGGAGTAGGACTAATGGTGCCAGATCCTTCCGTCTTTTGTTCATCCTAAGAGATGTCAGTGATCGTTCGAGGTGAAATATAATCAGCGGACCTTGGCAGATTGGCTGGGACGGCCGTTGGCAGGGCTAGCGCCACGGGTGCCAGGCTGGCTGTCCTTCTTCGGAGCCGGCGCCTGGAGGACTTGAGCAGCGGTGAGGCCAGTCCAGCCGGACGCCGAACCCGGACTACGCAAGGGAGGTGTGGAAGTTCCTCCAAGGACAGGGAACTCATCTGCGCTCGGGACGCGCTGGGGTTTAGGAGGAACGTGTTTCTTGTCGTTCCGATATCCGTTGTTATATCCACCAGCCTTGAAACTTGAGCTGTTACGTCCACGGTTGCCAGGGTCGGTCGACTGAGAACGACTGGATCCATTGCTCATGTGGCCGCCATTAGAACCGTTGACACCATTGGCAGTAGATTGGCCAAGGTTTTGCTCATTCTACATAATATATTAGAACATTGGGATACTATAATAGCGCAATGCTCATACATCTTGTGTCGACAAGGTTGCGAACTTGTCTTCGAGGCCGTTCACGCCATTGGCATGAAATGAAGGCCTAGGACGATGTCCATTGCGAGGAGCGAAATACTGGGGAGGCGGGGCTGTGCCCTCCAAGACATGAGGGAAGCGACAGTCGTCCCTAAGACAAGCAACAAATCAGCAAGCGCATATGATTAAACATATTTTCCACACGTACCCATTCTTGCACCGGCCGGAAGGGAAGAACAAACACGGAGGCTTGCGGCTGATACCAAACGACGGACGCCGTGCACTACCGCGCCTTTGGTGACCATAGCCTTCCCTGTAACCTTCCCTGTAACCTTCCCTGTGCCCAGAACTGTAGCCATCAGGTTGCGTATGCTGCAACGGCGACTTCGGTGATGTGGTGGGATCATGCTGATGCCCGTTGGGAATACCCTGTGGAGGGTACGGGTGTGGAACCATACCCTGTGGAGGGTACTGTGAAGGTCCGGGGATCATAGCACCAGGAGATGTTGGCGGGTACATCGCTTGCTGTGGTGAATGAGGAGCGACCACCGGCGAGTGTTGTGGCATGGGAACGGGCATGGGACCACCATGAGCGTATGGCGGAGGCACAACACCGTATGGCATAGGTGCACCAGCGGGAGGGTAACCTGGCTGAACAGGGAGTGGAAGCTCAGAGTTGGTGCGCGAGTGAGTCATCGGCGGGGGAGGCGCGGAAGAGGGAACGCTGGTCGGAAGTGTAGGCGAAACGGCGGGCATAGGCGCGCCATTGGGAGACGACTGGAAAGAAGGTGGTGGTACAGGGTAGTAAGGATAGGGTGTCGAATTCATGGGGTCGTAAGGAGCGGGATACTGGGCCGGAGGAGGAAGCGGGCCTTGCAGGTAGGGACCTTGCGGATGAGCGAACATGCAAGATGTTCCATATCGGCACGCCGGGTAATACCTGCAGGGAATCATGCGCGCAATCTCCGGAGGGGGAAGGTTGGGCACTCCCGAGTTGTCAGACATGTGAGGTTGATGTGGAGGCGGAGGGTAGTATGCAACTCCCTCTGGCATCATAGGAGGTGGCATGGGGTAGTAGTAGGGGCCGGGAGGGGGATAATAAGCCTTCGCAGCCTCGCTAGTGGGATCGTGAGGGTAGCCTTGTTCCGCAGGGGTGTTCTGGCTCGTCATTTTGTTTCTCGCCGCTGAGAGGAGTTCCAGGATGGCTGGATCTGAGGTATGCTGCTCTGGAGGGCCTTGAGCGGAGGAGTTAGTGGGATTGGCACCTGTTAGGGGACACACAGTGGCGATGAGGTGAGCGGACAAACGGAATGAAAGGAGTTGCCGGCGCGTACCCTTGTCAAGCAGCACCCGAACAACCTCGATGTGACCATTTTTAACGGCCTCGATGAGAGGTGTCACTCCAGCCTGATCTGCGGCGCAGTTGTTAGCGACCGTGACGCGACTTTGCACGACTACGGAGAGTCGGAATAAGTAAACTGAAAGCGCAGACCCACCTTTGATTTCCAGATCAGCCTGCGAGCCCTCGTTCAGGAGTTCCGTAACCTTTGCAACGTCGCCGTCCGCACAAGCCTTCCACAGAGCAGAAACCATGTTAATCAGACAAGCAACACACCAAGAAATAACTGGAATAAGCGAGTCAAGCGGAGGAGAAGCCGGGGATTATGTACGATGCTGACCTCGGTCGTTTTGGCGAAAGGAGAGCTTAGGAGAAGAATGTGCGGTCGGCGAAAGGGACCGCTCGCGCTGGCCAGAAGCGTCAGCCACGAAATTTTCGGCATTTGGCGGGCGCTTTCGACGCTGCATGCGCCGAGCGCCCGATCGGAAGCGCGATAATCACCTCGATTTGGTTGCCCTGGGGCTGTCTGCCCCATCCGCTCCCGCTTTCGACGTCGCTTTCCGTCCATTATTTTGCGCTCTACGTACGAAATAATTACATGCTCCGCAACACGGCACCGCAACACGACAAGCGCAGCATCAGAGAGGCATTCCGAGTTTTTTCATCAGCCTCCGCGCAGGCTTGCCAGCACACGGCAGGTCCAGCTCCTGCACGGCCGGCAGCGACATCAAGTCTTTCGCCCGTGAAGCCACGTCCTTGTCTAATGTCTTCCATCAGCGGGATGCTCTTGCGCGTAATGGAGTGTCCCATACCCTCATATAACACTTCGTAAACCTTACATCCGGCGGAAAGTCAGCTACATCATAGGCATGGCTTCGGACGCGTGGGACGTACCGCGATTGCGATAGGTGCACTGAGGTCCAAATCATCAAGGACCTCTTTCAGACCTTTCGCAGTAGACACACCCTCGGCGACGCTACCTAAGCTGTCGACAATATCCTTGAGTTGCTCTCCCTTCCCCAGCCTGTAGCCGACGGTGTAGTTTCGACTCGTTGAAGAGCTACATGTCAGAAACAAATCTCCGACACCTGCAAGAGATAGGAAGGTGAGAGGAGACGCCCCATAGGCGGTGCCTATACGTGTCATCTCGGCCAAGCCTCTGGTAATCAACACTGGTGAAATGTCTCGGTCAAATAAGCTGATATCAAAGGAATAGCGCATACTGGCACGCGTGTTGTTCTCGAAGCTAAGGCCGTCCGCGATTCCAGACGCGATGGCGTACACATTCTTCAATGCACCAGCAAGTTCCACTCCAATGGGGTCGTCCCCTGTATAACTAGAACTCGGCGTCAATGCACGGCTAGCACATCCACGGATGTCATCCGTACCAGCGGAACCAAGGCTGATGGAAGACACTCGACGCCTTTTCCGCATGCTCCGGAGATAGGGATGCGACAGAAACAGAGGTGGGCTGTCTTCTGACAACTGAAAAAGGTCAGCGGGCTTCTCAATATTAGCCGACCTTCGTACTTTCTTTTGCAAACGATGGGCCAGACTGTTAAGATATACCAGGGTGAGACCATGCGGAATAATAAAAATAATAAAATCACCACGTCACTTACCAGAAATGTGGCGACCTTTGCAACTTCAGGACCGCAGGTGTCTGCTATGATATCGAGCGTGAGAGCATGAGTGCCAATCTCAATACCCTTGTTGACAAATATGAAAAGAGGGAGGTTCTGCAGGTTCAAAGTGGGCTTCAGGGCGGTAAGCGTTTCTCTGCACAAGACGTAAAACGTGATCAAAAGACAATCCGAATACCACCGGAATGAACTTACCGCACGCCTTGCGTGGGTATCGCGAATAGCAATACGTCCATGCTTCGAATGAGTTCGGCTGGCGGAAACTCAGGACCAACGGCCTTGACGCATTCAGGAAAGACGTGATCTTTGAGGAAGTCTGGGTTTCGATGGTGGGAGTTGAAATGTTCTACAAGCCTCGCAGAACGAGACCACATAAAGACATCGTGGGCAGAGTCTCCGAGATGGTCAGCAAGACAGCTCCCAAAGTTGCCTGCGCCGAAGACAAGTACTCTTGCCCTGTGCTCGGGTGAGCTCCTGGACTCTGGCATCTGAAAGTTGGAGGGCTTAACAACACGGGTGGCGAAAAAGCGAGGCTGAAGGCAGGCAGAGGACAGGATGACGGCTTTGGAGGAAACCACACGTGGGCTGGAGAGCAGTCTTGGGTTAGACGGTTGGAGAGCGCGTTGGAAGCCTTTAAAGGGATTTTTTAGGTGCCTCGAGGACCTCATACGATAGCCATGCGCCTTCAAAAGTCGACAGCGATACTGGCTCTGGTCACAGCCCGGGAAAGCAGGTAATAATTAAATATTAAGACGCGATGACGGCGACCGCGCAGCGCAAGAGCCCGGCGCCGGTACGGCAAAGCCACGTGGAGGGTTCTGGCGCCTGCGGCCTCGCGCCCAGGCGCTTCAGGACACTTGCGACCTACCTCTCTGCAAGACTGTACTCCATACCTCCGCAGTCTCTCTATCTCTTGTATTGAACGATTATCCTGTATACGAAGTACCTCTAATACGAACTGCGATGCCACTGCAAGATCGTACCAACGAATTCCGCGCCTGTGTAGAGTCGATACGGAACCGCTCGTCTCTACCGGCCAGAGCAGAGGCAAGGCAGCGACTGTTGCAGTCGCAGGCGAAGGATGGGAGCGATAAGTCGGATTTCACGCGAATTGCATCTGCCATCGCGAGGGACATTAGCAGTACGACCATTAAGTTGGGCAAGTTGGCTCAGCGTACGTGCCTTGATCACACTCCACGCGTAATATCTCGCTAAATACCCAGCAGTTGCAAAGCGCAAGACACTGTTCGACGACCGGCCAGTCGAAATCAGCGTACGTCAGGGACACTGTATAATCTGCCTACATGAAAGTCTGACTTTCTTTGCAGGAGCTTACATATATCATCAAGCAGGACATTGCCAACCTCAACAAGCAGATTGCCTCCTTACAGGGCTACGTGAAGCAACGAAACTCGCAGGGCGGGTCCAAATCCCATGAAGCCAAGCAGATAGAAGAGCATCAGCACAATGTTGTCATGCTGCTTCAGAGCAAGTTGGCGGACATTAGTATGGCTTTCAAAGACGTATTGGAGATACGAACACAAGTACGTTTCCCCCAAGCCTACTTCGTAGCACATGTATTTACCCTCGCTCTGCAGAACATGAAAGAATCAAAAGACCGCACAGAACAGTTCATGCATTCCACGTCAGCCGCAGCAAGCCAGGCACCCTCGAGTGAGTCCGTAGCCCACACTTCGGGTAAATGCTGTGCTCAGGTCTATACTTGGCAGATTCAGTTCTCTTCGGAAACACTCAGAGGCACGACCCAATGGGCGACGGGTCTGCCTTGGGAGTACCCCGCTTTGATCCCAAGGGCAAGAGCCGGGCCGCTACTCCCAGTAACGGTGATATTCTCGCGCTGGACCTTGGAGCGGCTGAGGAAGGAACCGCGACCCAGAATGGCGACGCGTTTGTGCAGATGCAACTCGTAGAGCAGCAGGTATGTGTAGGACACGTACAAGCACTACACCGTAATAACAATCTTTTCACAGGATTCCTATATCCAGTCTCGGTCAACGGCGATCGAGTCTATCGAATCGACGATCGCTGAACTGGGTCAAATCTTCACTCAACTAGCGCAAATGGTTGCGGAGCAGCGAGAGACCGTGCAACGCATTGATGCAGACACAGTAGACATTGCGTCAAACGTCAGCGGAGCGCAGCGAGAGCTGCTCAAGTATTATGCGAGCATCTCGAGCAACCGGTGGCTTATGCTCAAGGTCTTTGGAGTGCTGATCGTCTTCGTAAGTGAAACACTCGCGTTGCCATGCAAATATTGACTCACAAGTGTGCTGCAGTTCCTCATTTTTATTCTAGTATCGTAAGCCATGACTGGGTCATGTCAGTTCCATTTAGAGCCCCCGTTTAGGATATGGACATGCATACATAATGTACCTGGAGTCTACTTAATGCTATGTTATGCGGCGCGATACCCTCTAAACCATCTTGATGCTGCAAGGCAATCAGCCCACTGGTATGGCGTTCATACCAGTACCGAACGCTTTTGGTGGCTTCTTCGAGCCTCTCTTCTTCTTCCTGCCTTCGGCGTCGCCCTCTTCAGGTACCGACCAGGTACGCTTTTTGATAGGTGCTTGCGTGACACCGGAGGTGGCAGAGTATCGTTGAGGCCTTTCGAGGTCAAGCATGCTCGTCTCGACGTCCATGTTCTTGCGCTTGCCCTTCTCCAGCCTCTTTTTCTGAATATAACCTGAGCACCTTCACGGGATGCATTGGGTATAGCTGACTTACCCTCTGCTCGTGCAACTCCTTGTTTCGCTCCCTGACCTTCGTCAACCTCGCTTCGCTCTTTCCTCCGCCGCCCGCGGTCAACTCGACATTGATCATGCGACCCTCAAGCTGGGACTGATGCAGCTTCAGAGCCTGCTGCAAGCCACTTTTTGCACTGAACTCCAAGAAAGCGAAGCCCTTTGATTTATTTACGGACTTCCCCGCAGCCACTGGTTTCGACGTCATAAGGCGTACGGTCGGCGGAGGGTCTACGGGGAGAATATGTTGAACTCGGTGCACGCGAACAGCGGTACCTCTATATACTCACTACACTGAGCGAAGTGTGCTTGTATAGCCTCTTTGCTTGTGGCATATTTTAGATTGCCTATGTGGAGTCGATATTATGGTATGATGATTAGTGGTATGATCCAACGAACGTACCGATGAAGAGAATAAACCGCTGCTGCTTGTCTTTCTTCCCCCCTTCTGTACTCTCCTTTTCTGTCGCCTCTCCTCCATACCCCTCAGCCACAATAGACCCTGCCTGTTTTGACTCTGTCTTCCGCTTCTTCGGTTTTGTCTTCTCCCCATCATGGTCGCCCAACTCGTCTGCGTCCCGTGTCCTCTTCTTCCCTTCCACCATTTGCGGACGGCCCCTGTCTTTGAGCCGACTTGCCTCTTGACTCTCCACACGAGCACTTTCCACTTCAGCTTCAGCAAGATCCTGGTCTTCCATGACAGGGATATCATTGTCGACATCGTCCTCAGAGGCCTTCGCTTTGCCCTTGCCTTTGCGTTCGCGGAATGCAAGGGCCTTTCTCTGCTTTTTGGTGAGCTTGGCCGCGGCTGACATAGCAAGTCGGCCGCGCGGTCTGCGTGGTAGGAGTACGCCGCGTGGAGGACTCGAGGAATGGTGCGCGATAACAGATGAGATAGCTAGCCTGAGGGTTGAAACATCTCAACGGGAAGTGGCTGCTAGCGTAATCAGCGTTACGTTAAATCATGGACCAATCAGAATGCGTCTTGCGCTGAGCTTGAGAAGTATATGGACGTGCCCGAGAGAATCATACTCAGTCTCATAGGAAATTTGTGTATGAGGGACAAGACTATACATTATCACTCTTGGGTCTCATCTACATCTGGCGATAAGCTGGTGCCGTATTAAGTGGCACGTTCAGGTGTACATGTGGCACACTCGTATGCCGACGCCATTGATATTTAAGGTTACCCTCGCCAAGTTAATGCCTCTACTCGTCGCGTCTGTACTTGACGTCGACTTGATTGGATTTACCCAGCTCGGTTATTCGTCGATGTCGATAAATCCCTAACGCGACGCGTTGCCTAATTAGTCGCGTCTCGCGTATATCTTTAGGGCAGGCTGTGATGGCACGTCGGGATGTCGACGTGTTCATTCTCTCGCCCTTCTTCTCCCCGACGTCGTCCTACCTGTCATTATGTCTCCCCCTCTCGCTCCTTCGTTTCGATACCAGCCAGATTAGCCCTCTGAAAGATCGACCAGAACGTTTTGAGCCTCTCGGTGTCTTCATGGTACGCCTGCTTGGCGATGATGTGCGTGAAGACTGTCGCTAACGACCTCTCAGTGAGAGCCGGTCGTGCTCAAAAACGTATTGTACTCCTTATCTGCTTTCTCTTGCGCTTGAATGTGGCGAAGTGCTGAACGGAGTCGATGTCTCCATCTCGATTTCACTGTTATGTCTTCGAATAAATCCATGGTTGGTGTGTAGACATGATCATTAGCTGTGCGGCAAGATACAAGCAAGAATCGGGCAAGACGAGAGCAAGACAAGACAAGACAAAGCAAGAACGACATTACGAAAGAGATGCAATAGGCCAGCGTGAATCAAGGGACCAAGACAGATAGCAAGAGCAAGAATGTACAACATGAGATGCGGAGCGAACGCATGCAAGACACCAAGTTGTGTGCCATAAACAAAGCTTCTCAAGAAATTAGACCGAAAACCGTCAACATCAACGCGAAGCCATCAGCTTCATGGATTCAAGAGCTTTTAGAACTTGGTGACGGAGACGATTGAGCCGTCGTTTGATTCCGCACGACTGGATTGGACAACGCGAGACGTCAAGATGACCGACTTCGCCGCAACATAAGTAGAAGAACGCACCTTCGATATCAAGCCAGTTATGAACAACTTGCTGTAACCAGCGTTCTCCAGCTCAATATTTCCAGGGTGAACGAAGTCGGATACGGAGGAGTAAGTCGGGGACAGTGGCTGCGAGACTCACGTCAACTCAGTACGATAAGAAGATGGAAGATACGCGTACTGGAAGACAGCAGAGGACTATGCCCAGCTCATCAAGGGATTGACTTTCGTCGCCGCTGGCCGACGACCGGTAAGCTGGTAAGAAATTGTTCGAGCCTTCTGGGGCTAGTATAGGACTGTCCGTAGCCTCGAACGGGACGAATGGTGCCCCGTGAACAGGAATGAGTATTTGGCTCGAGATTGACGGGTAGAACATATAGACGTCGTAATCGTCGTCCTCGATATATGGAGGTGGTGGATCCAGATCCTCCTGCTCGAGTTTAAAGATGACCATTGCGACGTCGAAGAACAAAATGGCTGTTCAAAATTGGGATAGATGGGTGGGTGAAATCCAGATGGATAGTGGTGGTACTGGGTGGACGAAAGAAGGAGGCGAGGCTGCAATTTCTGAGCATCGGTTGGAATTTATAGGTGGCGGCGAACTAGCGAGTTCGTTACGCGACGAGGTAATAGACCGAGGGGCAAATCAGGCAGGCACAGGTCAACGGCACAGGGTCCCGCCAGTTCGTACGTGTGAATGATACCCGTCTCGGAGTCGTGACCGTGGATGCGGCCTCGCTAGAGTGCTTTCTTCGGCCACTAGCCAGAAAAAAGGTCTCGATCGCGTTCCTCGAGGCATCGGCGCGTCAGCGCTGATGAATGACGCGGGATCACGCGGCCACAAAGCATCGGAGGTTCGCGACGGAACCAAGGACATAACAGCTGGGTGACACGAAGCCGGAGGTTGGAAAGCTGAGGGGGCGTTATCGGAGAGACGAAGAACACGGGTGTCGTTGAAAGGTGTAGTAAAGTCACATTTGCGACACTGGTTTCCATGGATTGGTTCTTGACGTAGTAGGCAGCGATAACAAGATTCAAGAGGTCGAGGCATCCGGAATGCCGCAGCAGAGGGGAAGATCTTGAAACTCGGTCGGCAGTCGGAGCAGGAGCAAAGAGTCAGCGCAAGGCGAGCACGTAGCGTATCAAGAGGATGCGAGTGTAAAGTGTCGACATAAGTCCGCAGATACGAGAAGTCGAGAGGTGTTCATCCAGACAAATGGAGAAGCGGTCAACCGGAGTCCACCGTCCAGCGAGAAGAATAGTCACGGCAATAAGTCCAATTCTTCTACCCTCTTCATGCGGAAGAGACAACCTCTGACTCGCTGCCTACAGTTGTAGGTGACATGCCCGCCGCGCACAAGTAAAACTATGCGTCACACGAGTACGACTGGCCAGTGCTCGTGCAGGGCCGCAATTTCTTGTGTTTTTCCTTATGGCCGTCACAGCGAAGAGGTCTATGATGTCTCTGCCCATCTACCAGGTTGTCTTGAGGCTTCCCTACACCAATCCTGCGGCATCTTGCCCACCGACACGATCCTGTGACACAACCGTGACGATCGTGACAGTGGGTGACATGGCCTCAGGGGTGACATGGGGGTCAAGGACAACGACCAGTAATTCACTGGTTCAGGATTTGGACAGAGGCATTATTGACGTATATGATGGATGCTGTGGCCTGTTGAAGAAGGATCAGTCGGCTCAATGGGCATGAATACCGACGTGCTCACCGCTCTTGAGTGGGCGCCGCAACACTGAAGTCGGGACAACTGTTAGCAATATACAAGGCTGAACCAACCAGGAAGCACCGGTAACAGGCTATCTGAGCCTCGCAGACCTTGCCGCGTGCAGTTCTCAAATCGTTGCCCTCACAACCTGCTCGGCTCCAAGTACTATTCGCGAAAACACGGCCGTGTGAGCAAGACTGGACCAAAGGCGTGTCAGGCTGTCCGACCGAAAAACGCAAGATGTTGTCGCCTGTGTGGGTTACTAGTGTGCTCTTTGACCAGCAGATGATGTAGCGACCAAGTTCTACCGTGGGCTGCCCGTCCAAGAGAGGTTCTTCAAATTGAGCCTAGGTAGAACCGACACCACCAAGGCAGGCCTACATGGCTTTTACAGACGGCTTCAAAATGAACAGTACAAGCGAGTGTACAAACACCGTCATGTCAAATTTGACGGGGATTCATCCGTGGACGTACTGTCGACTGGGACGACGGGATCTGAGGAAGAGCCTAGATTCGTTTCGTCTATGTCGCTAAATTCAAGAAAGCCCAAGAACTGTTGTCAAACAAGATTGGCAAACACTGATGAAGACGTTGTGGTCGTGTCCAACGTGCTAGCGAGAACGAAGACGGTGGTAGTCGAAGTTCGAACTACGGGCGGAAGCAAATCTGGGGTGATACCCTTCCCCTGTGCGATCGATTCATCGCTCGAACCGCCCACCCCTGCCCATCGGACTGTCTTCCTCACCACCATCCTACTCGCTGATACCGTCCCTGACATCTCCTCGCTCCGCGCACTCGGTAAGCGGGAGGCCTAAGCTCCCCGTCGTCTACCTCGCGTTGACGACAATATTGTGGCCTTCCGGCAACGTACCGGCTTCGCTCGTCCTCTGTTATCTTTCTCCCACAAGATTGTTTCGCATCCCACCTCCCCGGCTCGTCATCTACCTTTCTCAATCAGCTAGGGATACTACATTAGCTCCTGCCGCCTTCGCCTCAACGACGAACGGCACGACAGCTGTCAACACCGATGCAGAAGTCTCCAGCATTCATACACATCGTCATCTCCGACTCGGTCGTTTCTCCTACCTCAGCACTACTACCAGAAACGGAGTTGCGTCTGCCATTTGTCTGTCGGCCCTGTCGGTGTCGACGCCACGAACTCGGAATATGGGAGACCCGTGGCTTTTGTGTGTTGCCGATGCAGACCTCCTTGCTCTCCTAACGGATTGACGTCTACGGTGTGCTCCGCATATATCGCAGCTTCCTATTCCGTAACGCTAACCTCAGTTCTGGGCCTGTATCTTCCTCGACTTCTTCTGATTTCACGTCTGTCGCGCAACAGCTGTTCTTCTCTCCTACCTGAGGATGCAAGCAAGGGAAGACATTGCTAGCCGCATCTTGTCCCGCACTGTCCTGCGGTGGCCTCCCCTAGTGCCTCATTGCGGCTTTTCCTGCTTACTACACGCCGAACCGCTCTACCTCGCTCGGCGATTCAGCACACACATAGGTAAATCGCGGTTTATTCAAAGCATGCGACGAAAGCTTAATATCTCTCTTACAGTAGCAAAGATAACATAAAGAAGATAGCTCAGTCGCGTTGATGCTAATAGTTTACGACGCGAGTCCCTATGAACGTCCTTTGTGTGGCGGTAGGTGGTACTTAACACAATCAATGATTGCGATAAATGAATCATGCACTCTCAATAACGCGCGGATGGTCATTTGAGACTGTTTCTGGGCCCATATTACACCTATTCCAAGGAAACATATTGCCGACCTCATGCATTGAGCTGAATTTCGCTGGGAATTGCGAGCGTGAGGATGCACCGTACGTGTAACTCCTTCCGAATTATGCCTCTGGTAAAGTGCTTGAATTGTTTTTGTTCGTCACTCTGAAGATTACGCGGACAGCTGCGGTGGTAAGAGATATATCAATTACACTGTCATAAATCCGTAGCGAGAGAAGAATGTATGTACAGCATGAGGGGATGAGTGGTGCTACACATTGCAACGAAACATTTCGTAAATGAAGCGTGACCACTTGGTCTACATGTACCCGGGGGGCTACTGATTATACTGTGATCCGGTCGTACTGGACGCCCTTGATGTTGCCACCGCGCATAGAAGCCTTGACGTTGTAGAGGAATTGTTCCCGGTTCTTACGTAGCTCTTCGGCAGCCTCTGAGCAAAATTTGGCGCGTTGAGTCATCGCAGAACCGCAGCGAAGGTACAAGACTTACCCTTATTCAGTGGGTCGTCGGCGTTCGGCTCAAGGAACAGGTACTGCAGGCCGACCATGACAGAGTTGAGGTTAAGGACTGGCTTCCAGTCTTCACGAAGGATATTCAGGCAAACGTTGCCCTCTAGGTCGACATTAGGATGATAAATCTGTGGCGCCGGTCAATGTGCATCGCGACGAGTGCTTGCGAGTACATGCGTACCTTATGCGTGCACTTGACCTTTGGTGGCTCGTGCGGATAGTTGTTGTTAATCTGGAAGGAGAAGTTGAAGGCGCCGCCCTTGTACATGCCCTCGTCGGGAGTGATGGTCAAGGTGAAGTTGAGGAGATTAGCAGGGTCGGGGAAGGTGGTCTTCATAGTCGATGGTAGGTCGAGCTCGGTAAGATCTGTAGACATTCGTTGATGAGCAAACGACGGCACATGCGCAAACTGTCGTAGTGTATCTACCTACCTTTCTGTACCCGGATCTGAGCAGCGCTGGTCTTTGGCCGCTTCTTTGCAGCCGCATCCTCGTTCTTCTTCATAGACCAGATCTGTTAAAATGCCAGATGAATACACACGTGGTCTGCAAAATCAGCTACAAATCACCTTGATCATGTTGGCTACTAGCAGGGGGTGTGGAGAGTAGTGAAGGCGGTGAAAGGAGTCGCGTGTCTAAGGCTGAGTGTGAGCTGCCTCGCGGTATAGTTGTGGCGAAGGTGTATTGGGGCGCTTGGCCAACACAGAGTCTTGAAGCGCCCAGCGCTGCTTCCAGTTGCTCGCCTGTATGGCACACATTCAGGCACATTCAGCAGCTTGCTGCAAAGCTACACCCACGCCCGTTCTGCACCTTACCTTCGCTTGATTGCCCCCTTTTCACGTTGTGAAACGATGACCGACGTGATCCTGCCCATTGTCGACCTCGATATCTTCCTCTCGCAGCAGTCAGGGTCCCTCTCGGTGCTGCACGAGTGCCAGAAGGTACGCATGATGGTTCATCAATGACAGACCAATCTTCACATATCTATAGGCTGCAGATGCTCTTATTACTTACGGCGCACTGCTCCTTCACGACTCTCGTGTTTCTGAAGAGGATAACAACATCTTTCTGGACCTCGTCGAGGATTATTTCGCTCAGCCCGGGGCCGAGCTCCGTAAAGATGAACGTCCTGAGTTAGGCTACCAGGTAAGCAAGATTAGACACATGCGCTGTATCCATGCCTTAAAACAGGCATTCGTAGGTTGGTGTTACCCTTGAGAACACGGAGAAACCGAAGTGCGCGGTGCATGAACCATGTCTAAATGTCATCGCTCGCCTCGACCCTTCTGAGCGGCCCTTGGATATTGCTCAGCACAGTCCTGACCCCAAGTGTCGCTTTTTCTGGAAGATGAGCGAAAAGCCGCCATACGAGACTCAGTTTCCAGGGCTTAATGCCCCTAACATCGTGCCTCAAGCAAAGTACATTCGGGAGCGGTGGACTCCAATTATGGAGAAGTGGGGGCAGTCGATGAAGAACGCGTAAGTCGCGCTTCTGTATGCACATCATGCTCTGTTCACAGCGGCGCGTCGTTAGAGTCGAGAATCTGGCAGAAATGGCGGCAGTCGGTCTCGGACTCCCGCGAGAAACCTTCGGAGATGCCGGTAGATATGGGTAGGCTTGATATACGCACTTCGCAGACCACATCATTCTAAAATATGCGCTTTAGTCCCCATCTACTTGCTCCTACTGCGTCCGATCTCATCAAGTATGGAAAGAAGGATACCATCCTCGCCGGTTTCCATACCGATCTCAACTTCTTGACCATCCATGGCCGCTCGAGATACCCTGGTCTCAACATATGGGCTCGTAACACAGGCAAACGGATTCCTGTCAAGTTTCCTGCCACCGGCAGGTATCTCCTTGTTCAAGCTGGCAAGCAGCTCGAGCATCTCAGCGGTGGTTTAATCAAGGCTGGCTACCATGAAGTCGTGGTGAACGACGCTACACTCCAGGTAGGCGGTCGTCCTATACAGCCAAGAGTACCATTCAAAAACTTTCCTTTTCCCAGGTGATTGAACGCCGCAAAGCGCAGGCATCTGAGCGGCCTTTGATTCGTATCTCTTCAACATTCTTTTGGCATTTATCGTCCGACTATGACCTCGCGCCCATTCCCTCCCTTCAAGAGCGTTCTAGGAAGATAAGAGCAGATGCGATTGATCTTGGCAAGATTGATGAAGAAGCGGAGAGCATTTACGAGCCGATGAAAGTTGGCCAGCAGGTTCAGAGGTGATCGTGTGATTCTTCGTTCCGCACAACTCGCGCTAATACTATGAGCAGTGAACTGAGGCACATTGCTCTCATGGCTTGATATACTTCTTCGTAATTGTACACTGATCATTTTGTTTACGGCAATGCTGTTAGGGTCCTATATATGTGCGGAAGGCAGAGGAATGTGACTACTAATGAGACAACGTAGGGGTGGTCCAGTTGATCCACTGGCTTGGGTTCCACACTGTGCCATTGAACACCTCGTTCGTCTCGAAAATTGTCGTGTTCGCCTCCTTGCCCAACAAGAACTTGTCGAAGAAGGCGAAGAGGGTTGGGTTGAGGTCGGATGGGAATTCGCAGTGGCTGTGGTTGCCGACCTGGACGAAGCCATGGTTGTCGGGAACGCCCATCGCCTCCCAGATCGGGTGCGCCGCAGTCATGCATCCGAACCCGCTGAGCGGGCTGAGCCACTCGAAGTCCGTGTTCTCGTACGAGATCATCGGGCGCGGCGCAATCAGGCCTGCGAGCGAGTGGTGGTCGTACGGAAGGACGCTGATGTTGAAGACGAAGTTGTCAAAGTTGGTCGAGAACCAGACGTTCTCCTGCACGATCTCCGTCGCCTGCTGCACGACGTCGCCGCTGTCCTGCTCGAACTTGGACAACCGCCAGCACGTGTCGCCGCCCGAGCCGGACTCCTGCGGGATGGTGAGCGCGATGCGCTCCTCGAAGGCACCCGCCATGAGCGCACCCTTGCCATCGCGAGAGCAGCCCGTGACGGCGATCTTCGCGGTGTTGACATGTGCGGCGGGCGTGACCTCGAGCACGTCGATGATGCGGCTGACACCCCAGACCCAGGCACTCATGGCGCTCGCGGTTGCGTTGTGGCCGTAAACGTCGAAGAACTGGCCGACGCCTCGGCTTGTTTGATCATTTTGTTCGCCTATGGCGCTGTTGTCGTAGGTCAATACGGCAATCTGCTTGCACCATCAGTACTTGGATGTATGACGAAAAAATCATTTCAAGACTCACCCCGTCGGGAATCGGAATGCTGAGACCGCTGTAGGCGATGAGGAGAGGCCAGCCTTCCGTAGGAACCGTGCCATTGGGGAAAGTGACGGGAGAGGAGAACGTGGTTGTGTTACCAGGAAATCCGGCGGTGACAGTTAAGTTGCCTGTCAGGCCATTCTGGGAGAAAGTGGAAGTGACAATGGGCGGTTTCGGGGGCAGAGTGCCCGCTTCGTAGCCCTGAATCAGAGAGGCAAGCTGCTGGCGACGGCAAGACCAATCGGTGAGGCTGCGAACGGGGGTCCCATCGTTGAATAAGAAAGGGTCGGGAAGCTTGTCATCGTTGAACGGGATGTTCGCTGGCGTGGAGCAGCCAAACGACTGGGCTTCTACGCGAAGAGCATAAGCTATGGTATCCAAGTAGCGAAGGTAGGCACTCACCTTTGCTGCTAGTTTGAGGGAGTGCAAGAACTGGAAGTGCAAGGAGAAGGAAAGACAGCCAGCGGAATGCCATGGCTAGCCGATTTGACGTCGTCGTGTCTGTCACCGATGCCTCTTTCTCCCTTTCTCTGGCCTTCTTATACATGGGGCCGCAGAGCCTCAGAAATCATGAACCCTGAGGGTGTCATGCTCAACGACGTGCACATCTCTGTTGAAGGCCAGACGATCAAGATGTCCCTCACCGCCTTGAGGACATGACCAGCCAGCTGACTGCATCGACGGAGGTAGCCAAGAAAGACCGGACGCCCTCAAACCATGTCGACTACATGCTCCGCTGTTCGTGGCCGGGGTCGGTAATAGATTGTATGCGGAAGCCAGCAACAGCGGCTCCATCTGCTTCTATGGCGGCCCGGGTTGCATGCGTCGGGGTATAGGTCTACTACAGGATAATCATTCAATCGCGAGCTGCTGACCTTGTATTCGGAAAGTACGGACACTGTGAGGCAATAGAGAGACTCCACCTCGCAAACGCGAACCGGGGACTATCTTATAGTCACCGCGGACATACTGGCCACAGTACTTCATGGTTGAATTTGAATGATGCTTCGTCGATCGCACATATGGCATTGGTCTTCATCTTGAGCTAAACTCGCGAACCAGGATTCGTTGGAGCCAGCCGGTCGGGATTCTTTCGGTGATGATCACTGTACAAGATTTCATTGTCAACGATGGCCGTTTCCCCGACGCGTTCATCATGGCGATGTCTTACTCACGGGCCTAATAATATCCAACGGCATGGAACGCATGCGCCCGTGACTTGCCTCGCACACACCTGTTTTGCCGAGGAGTGTCCACGGGCATGCCAATGACGACTCGCACGTGGCTTGCAGTACCGCACCGCGGCATTTCTGAACCCGCGATGGCCACCACACTGTCAAGAAATCCGCGCGTGACCTAATTGTCGAATGGCGAACTCAATTCGCGAACTGACAGGGCGTGTGAGCGGAGTCCATGTTTACACCTCCAAAAAGCCAATAATTCTCACTCGCATGAGCCTCACGATCTTCACAGCTTCATAGCTTCACAGACAAGCCGGCGGGAGCACGTGGGGTTGTAAGCTGTGTTCGGGTCCAAAATGCAGTATGAGATCCCAAGGCGACTTAGTCCCAGAAGAGCCTGAAAGTCGCATCCAGAACCGGGACAGCACGGAGGCTTTTGATGGCCGCTGACGCCACGAAGGCTCGGCTCTAGTCCGAGCTATGTACTTAGCGTAGTCGATTCCAATCAATCCGTTCTCCGTTGGACAGCCAGGTTCAACCTATAAAGCCAGGTTCATCTGCCTTGCGTGTGATGAGCACACATCCTGAACTGAGCGCTATGGTGAAAGTACACAACTCTAGTAGTACTGTAGTAGTCACAAACGACGCGATACAACAAGGCCTACCAGGCAGCCACATGGAGCTTCCGTTTCAGAGAGATATGTTGTTATGAAAAATGCGTTGACCGTGCTGCACATCAAGCAGCCTAACGAAATGTACTTGCAGAACAGGAGGGAACGTGAAAGAACGAGGAAGAACATGCCAGAACCCGAGAGAAACAAGAAGCTGAGGCTTGGAACATTATGGAACAGTGTAGAACGGACTGGAAAGATAGTCAAAGACTAGTATAAAAGACGGAGCATCCAGCTCAGACAGTAGACTATACCTACACGCGCCCACACCCACGCCCACGCAATACGTTTTTATATATCCAGCCATCATGCCCAAAAGCAAGAGCAAGAGCAAGAGCAAGAGCAAGAGCAAGAAAGACTCCGGCTCTAAGACCTACGTCCGCAAGTCCGACTACCAATACCAGAAGGACTTCGGAGGCTTCAACAACCTCATGCACAGCTACGGCTTGAAGACTTGGGACCACGACGATATTCAGGAGGGGAAGGCCATTATTGAGGCTTTCAGAGAGCAGGACCAGAAGGATCAGTCCAACTGATGTATTTCTTATCAACGGCCCTATATCAGTCTGTTTCCCGTCGGATTGTATTTTGTATATGCCACATTTTATACGCTTT